GATGAGGATGTAAAGAAAGAGAAACTTTCATATACTGTTGGCAGGAATATAAACTAGTACATTCTTTATGAAAAATAGTGAACTACTTCAAAACATGAGCTAGAGTTGGCATAAGATCCAGCAATCATACTACTAGATACATATGTAAAGGAATTAAAATCAGTATGTTGAAGAAATAACTATACTTGCATGTACACTGGAGAACTATTCAGAACAGCCTTGACAGGAATCAACCCAGCTGTTCATCAATGGATAAATGGACCAAAATTATTATGTGTAATAAATATATTTATACACATATATATGTAAGACAGAATACTCTTCACCCATAAAAATATTAGAATTTTGTCATTTGCAGCAATATGGATGAAACTGGAGGTAAACAAAATTAAAAAATCAGATAAGAAAGGCAAATACTGCATAGCCTTACATAGGCAAAAGCTAAAATTTTACTTTAGAGAAGTAGATAATAGGATAGAGGTTATTAAAGTTTGGAAAAGGGGATAAAATGAAGAGATGATGGTTAATGGATACAGAAGTGCAGTTAGATAGAAGAAAAAGCTTTTTTCTTTTTGGAGACTGGTTCTTGCTAAATAACAGAGACTGGCCTTCAACTCATAACACAGTCTAGGCTGGCCTCAGACTTCTGGTCCTCTTGTCTTAGCCACCTGCATGCTGGGATTGCAGACATGTACCACAGGAAAAATAACTTCTAATATTTTAGAACACAGTAGTAAAACTATGTTTGACAATAATATCACAAAATAACTATGTAATAAAGTCGATTTTGAATGCTCCCAACACAAAGAAATACTATGTCAAACGTTAAAGATATGCCAATTACCCATGACTATTGCACGTATTAAAATATCACATTATCCCATAAATATGTACAATATTGTGTACCAATTAAACATCAAAATTCAGTCAAAGAAACTAATTGACCAATGAACCACTGAGCTACATGTTAAGCCCTTGAGAAGCCAAACACATCTGCAACAATCATGTCACTGTCAAAATGTTTTATACCAGGGCCAGGCATATAACTTAATGGTGCAGTGCCTCCCTGGAAAGATGAGGTTGTGAGTTTGAGCCCTGGTACCAAAAAAATAAAAAAAATAAAAATTTTTATGCCTTATCTTGAATTACCTTTGAAGCAGATTTTAAGATGTAAACCCTAATTCTGTCACTATATTACACTACAAACTCAAAGTTTAGTAAGGATGATATACAACTGGTGTTTTCCTGTTCAAACAGTTTATTCTGTCCACCAGATGTTTCTCTAAGTAACCTCAGAGATATTTTACTAAATACACATCTGGCCATCTTCAAAGGCCAAAGACTTAGAAGCACTGAGAGAGGTTCACTATATGAACACCCCTTAGGCCAGGCAGTCGGTTCTAAAGGGAGTTCCAGAAGAGGTTTTGAGGAAAGCAGCATCACAAGGAAGGGGCTATAATGATCATAGCAGCCACCACTCACTAACCTGACCACAGACCAGACACTGGACTAAAGTGCCTTCTGTGTCTCAATTCAGCTAAGACTCACCTGGAAAGCACAACTATCATTCTCATTTTACAGATGAGGACAGATAAGGCCTATTCAAAATCACACTGCTCAGAAAAGCAGAGCAAAGGTTAATTAAGGTCAGGCCTGCTGGGCTCCAGAGTCATGTGTACGAATTCTAATTCATCTTTATGTTTCTTAGTCCAGTGTCCCAAGGTTGTATCTTGGATGTTGAGAAAATAAAGCTAGGAAAATGAAATCACCTTAACACTTCTACCAACACATTCCTCTTCCCAAGAAAATAATTCTGTGGGCTAGGTGAGAAATTACAGTGCCAGAGGAAGGACAAGCAAAGTTAGCCTCTCTGCCCAGGCAATATCCTGACCAAGAGACACAGCAGGAGGCAAGAGAGGCAGGCTGCCTTTGGTCAGCTCTAAAGTAAATCCCATGCTGTGGTTCCCTCCCAACTGGCTTCTCAGGGATCCCTTCCATGCCAGATCACCATCTCTCTCTCCTCCCTATCTCCCTATTTATCACTCCAAATCCAATTTCCCCTCAACTGATTGGCAAGAAATCCTTGCTAAGGTGTTAGCTAACATCTTACCGAGTTACACTTCCTTGTGCTTATATCTGAATAAAATATTCAAAAAGCTAAGGCCTTCAAGATCCAAGACAATGAATGAATTTCTACTGGTGGGTTGACAGTACCGTGACCAAAACTAACTGCCAAGGCAACCTTTTGAGACAGGAGTTAGTTTGACATAGCTCCAAATTAACCCACTGAAGCAGTCGCTCCCATACCAAAAATAACACCTGACATTTATTGACCATACTATACCAGTCCCAATGCAGGTACTTGATTGATACAATCACATTTAATTTACACTAAAACCTTAAGAGGAAGGTACATACCTGGCCTTACAAATGAGGAAACAAGGCTCAGAAATGGTCAAACCATTTCTGACAGTTTCTCACAAACAAAGCACCAAAGGAGGTAGGCAAAAAACGAGCATGCAAAGAACCTATGTTCATTCTACCGGGGTCAGCTATCTCGAGCCTCATTTGCCATCTTTTTGAAGGCCTCTGTCTCTAAACCACAATCCTTCAGCATCTACAATTGTCTAGATATCCTAGGAAAGACCACAGCCAGAGCTGGAGAGGGAGGCTGTCTGCAGACTACACTGACACACACAGCCAATTTGTCCTGGTTGCCCACTAATATTCATAAATAGCCTTAGGGAGGGCAGTTCCAGGTCATCAGGAGCATTTGCTAGGAGTCTAGGCTCTAAAGAAAAGACCATAAGCATCTCTACTCTTATTGTACTTTCACTATTATGAAGGTAGCTAGCTGCATAAATCTGGATTTTAAAGGCCATCAGAGCAGCAATTTTTATGGTATAAGAGAAAAGATGGTTTAACTCCTACTTGTGCTTAGCATAGGATGAAAGATTATGACAAATGGATACAGCTTAGGAACAGACATAAGGATAAAAGCAGCTTCTGTTGATGAAAGTCAGTATTAACATTTTTCTGAGACTAGACTCAATAGAGCTAATATAAATGGGCCAGAATAATTATGGCTCTGAAAGCTCATCTATTTGGTTGGACTATTATCCGAAAGGGACTTAGTAACACATGGTCCTTAAGTAAATTCATCAGCATGCTTTTGTTAATTGTGCATCTGCTAAAGCTCTCAATTGGGAGCAAAAGGATTCTCATAAGCTTCAAGTTAGGGACACAACCCTGATCTCTCGAGAGTCTTAGCTGCTTTTCCTCTTTACCACGGAGCATACCAGATATCCCTAACCTTATGCTATAACCAGTTCTACCGTCAGGGGCCCCTGGGATCCTGTCCTCCATTGTCCTTGAAGAAGAGGCCAAAAAACAGCACCAACAGGATCTTAGTCAGAGAATATTAAAAGTTCAAAAGGAACTCCTGTGACTCCTAACTATACATTCTCTCCTGCTCCACAAAGTAGGGAGAACAGCAAAGAGAAAACAAATGACTTCAGAGAGAAGGTGGAAGCTTGCCATGAGCCAGAGGTGAACCGTGGCTGTGCTGGATTGTTATTAAATTCATCACAATTGTCATTTGCACTTCAAGGGCCTCTGGTTCTAAAGCCTCTAGCACTTTACCCACCATTTAGTGAGTGCCCTGGGGGTTGGTGAAGGTGGCCAGAGAAAGTTGAAACTGTCAGGGCTTCTCAAGGGAGGGGGAAAGAAGGGCACTGGGAACTGGTTAAGGGCATGCTATTGCTGGTAAAAACCAGGAAAACAAGGTCAGGAGCTTTAGCATGCTGTAGCCAGGCCAAACACAGGCTTTCTTAGACATTCTCCCCCCTACCTATGACAAAGACAGAAGCCCTAAGTAATGAGGTCTAGGTTAATGAACAGAGGCCTAGAAAAAACAAAAAGACAAAGACAAAGGAAAGGAGGATACAGACAGACTCAGAAAGCACAAGGAAAAAAAGAAGAAAGGAAGTAGTCTCTTCCTGGTTGTTATGGTTTGTGTTTGGATATCCCCCTAAAGCCTCAAGTGGTTATGGGGAGGGTGCTTTCAAAGGCAGCTGAGTCTAACATTAGTGACTGGTTTGCTGTCTAGCGCTGGGATTGACAATGTGAGTGCCACACTCACCCAGGGGCAGATAGCTAGCATATAATATAAGGGAGGAAAGGAGGCATGCTTTCCCTTTTTTGCTCTTGCTGCCTTTGATACCTGCTGTTGCCATGAATGGCTGCCCCTGTGCCATGCCAACCTGCCTTGGAGCCCATTGATTATGGACTGAAACCTCCACAAACCGTGAGCTAAATAAAACTTTTCTACCTTCATTTTGGGGTCAGGTACCAGCAATGAGACAAAAGTAACCAAGACACTGGTGCTTACTACACAGGCATCCAGCTCCTAGGGAGAATCAAGAACTTCTCAGTTCTGCCTCAAAGTGGTTGTATGATTTTGGCCAAGATACTTAAAAGTCTCTGATCCTAAGTCTCCCTCTTTTTTTTTTTTTTTTTTTTTTTCAAAATAAGGGTAATAATTATAGTTGCCTACTTTGTAGGGTTGCTGGGAGAAGTAAATGAGAAAAAAGCATTTAATGAATGTTTGGTACATGGAAGCTTCCTATGATCATCATCTTTTCTCCAGAGGGAAGCCGTACCCGTGAGTTTTAAGTAAAGGACAGAGACTGGGTATGGTGGCCCACTCCTGTAATCCCAGAACTTGGGAGACGCAGGCAGGGGATCATTGCAAGTGCAGGCCAGCCTAGACTACACAGTGAGTTCAAGGCCAGCCTGAACTACATAGTGAGACCCTGACTCAAAAAAAAAAAAAAAAAAAAAAAAAAAAAAGAGTAGAGGGCAGTGGACTCAAAAATGGGAAAGAAAAAGCCATATTCCACTAAGAATAAAAGCCCACAACATCCAATAAGAGACCTGTTAGAGGAAGGTTTTCTCAGACTTCATTAAGGATCCTTCCTACTTGCAATAAGAACACTTACTGGGTTCTGATGACTGAGGCAGAAGGTGAAACAGAAGGTCATCAGCAGTCCAAGAAGCATTCCAAAGGGAGCCATCCTAGATGGAGACAAGGCTCTGAGGAGTTATGGTCAGGGACCTGAGGATACAAGCATAAAAATCAGAAAATTAATGGAAATCTATGCCTGGTCCCTCTATATTGTGATTGCCATGATCATCCTTGTTTGACAGATGTCAGACATTTCCTGCCTAGAAATATAATAGGTCTTCTATCATTTTTAGATAAATCTGAAGCCTCCATCTCCTGTACTCAGTTCCTCAATGGGAAACAGGTCGTGCTTGGAACTTGGCAGTCAACCAGAATACTCTCTCATGTGCTACAGTCCTGGTCCTTTCCTTCTTCATTAATAATTTGCTATCAGGTTATGAAGAGTGGTACTGACTGTGATGAGGATAGAGAAAACTAGTCACATCTGAATGTGAACAGATTTGGGCCCAGGCCACATAAACTTCTGTATCTACTTCTAACCATAGCCATTATCATACATCCTCTAAGCCACAAAGCCTTTCATATCACCTTTCAAATGGCCAAACAAATCAAAGTACAGGCCCTAGTAGCTGTTAAAATTTAAAGGATATAAGGGTGGGGCTGGAGGTTTAGCTCAGTGGCATAAGCACCTGCCTTGCAAGCAGGCGGTCATGAGTTCGATCCCCGGTACCGATAAAAATGAAAAAGACCAAAAAAAAAAAAAAAAAAAAAAAGGATATAAGGGTGAAAGAATGGAAAGTTAGTATTTTAATATGACAATATTACATGAAGCAACAAACATATTCAATGCAATCTTCCTCAAGATCCCCATGGTGTTTTTGTTTTGTTTTGTTGTGGTTTTTGTTTTTGCTTTTGTTTTGAAGAAATGGAGAAAAATAACCCAAAACTCATATACAATTTCAAGCGACCCAGAATAGCCAAGACAATCATGAAAAAGAAGAAAGTCAACAGACGTATACTTACTGATTGCAAAACTTACTATAAAACTACAGTAATCAAAAGTATGGGATTGGCATGACAGCCACAGAGACCAAAAGAAAAGAAGTGAAAGCACAAATTTAACTCACATACGTGGTCAATTAATTTTCAACAAGGCTGCCAAGACTATTCAATTGAGGATAGGATGGCCTCTCTAACAATGCTAGCGAATATCAGTGCGAAAGAATGAAGTTGGCAGGGTGCAAATTCAATATTTAAAAATCAATAGCTTTTATATACACCAATAATGAACTAGCTGAGAAAAAAACAAGAGAGCAAACCCATTTATAATAGTTTCCAAAAAATGAAATACTTAAGGATTAACATTAATAAGAAAGTGAAAGATCTACACAATTAAAATTATAGTACATTGAAAAAAGAAATTGAAAGAAGATACTAGAAAATGGATAGGCAAAATTAATATTGTTAAAGTAGCCTTATTATCAAAAGCAACGTTCAGATTCACTTCAACACCCATCAAAATTCCAATAGTATCCTCCATAAAACTAGAAAATTTCTAGTTCTAGAAAACTAGAACTAGGAAACACAAAACATCCAACATAGTTAAAACAATCATAACTGGAAAAAAAAAAAAGTAAGGCTGGAGTCATGAAAATACTCTGAGTGTTGACAAACTGCTAATTAGTTTAGATTTGTTATCCTTCTCCCTCAGCCTCCCAAAGCACTGGGATTATAGACATATACCACCATGCCTAGCTCTGATTTTTAACACAAAATAGGATGGTATTGGCATAAAAAATAGACACATAGACTAATGGTATAGATGAGATCAGAAACAAACCCAATTAGAGCCATCTAATTCTTGACAAAGAGGCCAAAAATATATGTTGAAGAAAAGACAGCCGCTTTAACAAATGCAAAAGGAAAACTATACATCCATACACAAGAAGACTGAAACTAGTTTTGCATCTTTCACCTTGTACAAAAATCAGTTAAAAATGGATCAGAGACCTAGGTATAAGACCTAAAACTTTGAAACCGCTCCATGAATATACCTGAAGTCATATGTATAGACAGAGACTTCCCAGACAGGACTTTAACAGCACATGAAAAATAACAAGAATCAACAAATAGGACTGTATCAAATTTTAAAAGTTTCTGCACAGCAAAGGAAACACCAACAGAATGAAGAGACAGCCTACAGAATGAGAGAAAATCATTGCCATTTATTCTTCTGACAGAGGGATTAGTATCTAGAATATATAAAGAACTCAAAATTTAACATCAAAAACTCAAATAGCCCAACCGATAAATGGGCAAACAAATTGAACAAATATTTCCAAAAGAAGTACAAGTGGCCAATAATTATAGAAAAAATATTCAATATCATTAGTGATCAGAAAAATTCAAATCAAAACTACATTGAGATTCATCTCAACTTAGAATGGCTATGATCAAGAATACAAAAAACAATAAATAATGGTGAGGATGCAGGAAAAAATGAATCCTTCTACACTGCTGGGAGAATGTGAATTAGTAGAGCCTCTGTGGGAATCAGTAGGACGTCCGCGAAAAACTGAACATGGAGCTACCATTTGATCTTGATATACCACTACCCGATACGGACCTGAAGAAACTGAAAGTCAGTACACCACAGGGATACCTAACACTCATGTCTGCTGGGGAATAATTCACAATAGCCAAGATATGGAAACAGCCTACATGAAACAGATTTTTTTTTAAGTGTGACATATATACAAAATAAAGTAGTATTCAGCTATAAAGAATGACGTTAATACATGACTTTTTTTTGGTGGTACCAGGGATCAAACTCATGACCTCCCACTTGCCAGGCAGGCACTTATGCCACTGAACTAAATCCCCGGCCCAATACATGACATGACTTTTTAAAAAGATAATGTTTGCCAGGCAAGGTAGTGTATGCCTATAATCCCAGCACTCTAGGAACCAAGGCAGGAAGATTCCAAGTTCAAGCCCAACTCAGGGACTGAGCGATATAATCAGTTCCCTCTCCCTCTTGGGTTCTTGTTTTCTGGCAACAAGATGAAGAAGAATAAAATAGCAAGCAGCTAATGGCCAAATGCATGCTTGTTAGAAAGAATCAAAGAAAAGAGCTCCCCACTTGTTGGAGAAGAGAATAGCTGTTCAAGTCCATTGGTTTTTTTATACAGTTTTTTGCGTCTGTGTTTGTGACAGAAAGCGAGGATGTTTCTTGGGGCAGGTAAGCCTTTGTCGTCTGGGAAGCAGGGTGCTTCCTCTGCATTTTCCTTTCCCCAAGGTCTCTCCCATTTGGCTAAGGACCTGTTTTTTGTCCCTCTGTAGTCCATTAGGACCCGATAGTTTGTTTACTAATTACTCAGGCCCTCTGGTATGCTAATTCACTGAAGCCCCAGTTTTGAGTTTACTTGAGATTAACTCTTCAGGATTTGTACTCCATCTACCTAACTTTCTCTATATTTCTGCTTCAGGGAGATGCTGTCTCAAAAAAACTTTAAAAGACAGGGGAATCAAACTCAACGTGAAAGCCTTAAGTTTAAACTCCAATCAATCAAACAATCAATGAATAAGTAAATAATAAAAAAGATGACTTGAAAGTAGAAGAGAAACTACTATTAGATAAAATGAAGAGAACAGGGAGGGAAAACGGAAAAGTAATAGAAGGATAGATATGGTCAAAGTACATACCATGAAACCCAGTATTTTGTAAAATTAGTAACACAAATAAAATATATTTTAAGAAATGATAAAACATGATAAAAAAGACTGGAGTTGAACCTTTCCCTTAACATATATAAAAATGAATTCAAAATGGATCAGAAACCTAATGCTAAAAATATAAAATTCTTCAAACACATGTAAAGTTATCACGACCTTAAAATCTAGACAATGACTTGTTCTTTTTGAGACAGAATCTCACTAAATTTACTAGGTTGGGTTCAAACTTAGGATCCTTCTTCCTCTGCCTCCCAGAGCACTGGCAATATAGGCATGAGCCACTATGCCCAGCTGGGCACTGGTTTCTTTAAAAGGCACCAAAAAGGGGCTGGGGATTTAGCTCAGCGGCATAAGCACCTGCCTTACAAGCAGGCGGTCGTGAGTTCAATCCCCGGTACCGATAAAAAGGAAAAAGACAAAAAAAAAAAAAAAAAAAAAAAAAAACACAAAAATGGCACCAAAAGCACAGGGAAAAATAACGATTAGTCCGGGAGTGGTGGCACACACCTGTAACACCAGCAGTCAGGAGACTGAGGTAGAAGGATCACTGTGACTTCAAAGCCAGTCTAAACTACATAGTGAGATCCTGTTTCAAAAACCAAAAACAATTTTTAAAAGATAAATTTTAAAACAACTTTACTGAAACAAAAGATATTATCATGAGATGTTATTTAGTATTAAGACACCTGTCTAGTATCATGAGTTCCTGGGTTCAATCCCCTCCACCACCACCACCACACACATACACATGTATAAACACAAAATGTTATCAGAGACTATAAGGACAACTCACAGGATGGAAGAAACATTTGCAAATCATATATATAAGGGTCTAATGTCCCAAACTGGGCTGAAAGTATAACTCAGTGGTAAAGAACCTACCTAACTACCATGAGCAGTAATACCCTGGGTTCGATCCCCAGCACAGAAAATAAATAAATAAAGTTCAAGTTACATCAAGAAACCCTAAATCTTTTTTTTTTTTTTGACAGGGTTTCATTATGCAGTTCAGGCTGGCCTAGAACTCACTTTGTAACCCAGGTTGGCCTTGAACTCACTATGTAGTCTTGGCTAGCTTTAAACTCACACTGATCCTCCTGTCTCTACCTCTTGAGGGCTAGGATTATAGGCATGCACCATCACATCCAGCCAACAATTCCTAAATCTTAACAAAAATATATAAACTCAACTTTAAAATGAGCAAAAGACTTAAATAGATTTCTCAAAAAGATATACAAGTAGCCAAAAAGAACATGTTCTCAATATTATTAACCATTAGTAAATTCAAACCAATAAAACCACAATGATATATTTTACATACACTAAGATGGTTATAATTCTTAATAAACTAAAATAAGTATTTATGAATATGCGGATTAAATGGAACCATCATATATTGCTGGTAGGAATGTGAA